AAAAAAAAAAAGAACCTGTATGCCACTATCAGTTATAGTCATGAGTTAGCATGCTCAATGCCTTCTGAACCCCAGTCCCCTCCCCAAAGGGACCACTCATACATGTCTGATTAGCAATTTTTCCAGATATTTTCTGTGTATTTACAGCACAGATACATGTAGTGCAAAAAAATCATAGTTGCGCGTATGATTTTTTTTTTTGTCGCCCAAATGGCAGCACATCATGGATTCTGGCCTTACTTACTTTAAAGAATAGCATCGTGTACTTTTTTTTTGAGACAGTCAACTATGATGCCACAGTACAGTGCCGTGGTATCTCAGCTCACAGCAACTTCAAACTCTTAGGCTCAAGCAATTCTCTCACCTCAGCCTCCCAAGCAGCTGGGACTACAGGAGCATCACAGTGTCCGGCTATTCTTAGAGAAGAGGTCTCACTCTGGCTCAGGCTGGTCTCGAACCTGTGAGCTCATGCAATCCACCTGCCTCGGCCTCCCAAATACTAGGATTATAGGTGTGAGCCACTGCTGGCATTGTGTACATTTATCTCCACATGGTTCTTATCAGTAAGGTGTAGTTAAGTAGGGGATAATCCAGTCTGAGTAAGAGCAAGACTTCATCTATGCAAAAAATAGAAAAATTAGCTGAGCTCGCTGGCATGCACCTATGATCCCAGCTACTCGGGAGTCTTGAGGCAGGAAAATTGCTTGAGCCCAGGGAGTCTGAGGTTGCAGTGAGCAATGACAATACCGCAGGCTACCCTGGGCAATGGAGAGAGTGTTTAAAAAAAAAAAGGGATATGTGATATGCCCAATATCTTTGGACAACTCACCTCTACTGTGGGCAAAGGACAACAAAGATATAATGATGTGCTAACAGGTTTCTGCAATGAAAAACTGCAAATTTCAGCACAGAGGGCCAATGGAGTCTGGTCAGTGGGAAAAAGGGGAGCTGGGCAAGAGAAAATATTTATCATGTCTTCTCTAGGAGGCAGCAAAATAGAGTGTAAACTGATTCTTGTCTAGGCCCCAGCATGCTACTGACAAGTGTACAATATCAGAAAACTGTCAACTAACCTTTGGGGTTCAGTTCCCTTAAATAGAACATGTGTAAGGTTTATGGTTAGGGTAAAAACCAAGAACATGTATGAGAAGCACCACACAGTACAGCGCTATTCACCTGCTGTATATTACTACAGTAACTGCCTTGCTTTCTCTTCCCATTGTCTATCAAAATTTTTTTCCCTTTTAAAACACACATGCATATACATATATATATTACATCACTGTTTGCAGCTAGGAATTTAGTTGGTAAAAACAAGGTACCAATTTTAAGCATTCAATGTGAAAGAGAGAAGTGCTCATTACTGAATTACTTTCAAAACTCTGAAAGGCTTGGTTTGGCACCTGCAGCTCAGTGGTTACAGCGCCAGCCACATATACCAGAGCTGGCAAGTTCAAATCCAGCTGGGCCTGCCAAATAACAATAACAACTACAACTAAAAAAGTAGCTGGGCATTGTGGCAGGTGCCTGTAGTCCCAGCTACTTGGGAGGCAGAGGCAAGAAAATCACTTAAACCCAAGAGTTGGAGGTTGCTGTGAGCTATATGACACCACAGCACTTTACCTAGGATGATAGCTTGAGACTCTGTCTCAAACAAAACAAAAAAACCAAAAAAAACTCTGAAAGACAAAATACATTATCTAAAGCAGTTTCACTCTACTGTTGTTTCTTGATCAATCTTTTCTTTTTGAGGCTAAATTTTTAAAACTTAATACAACTAAGTTTCTGACAGTACAGTATAGATTTAGTTCTTTCAAAATGAATGAGATGAACATGAAGGCATGTGTAGCTGTTAAATACCAGTAAGTTTTGAAATGAGCAAATCTAACAGCTACTCTCACCATGAAAGGAGCCATTTGATAGGGTGGTAAAGAGTAACAGTCTAATCAACCCTGGTGTCAAAATATCTACAGTTCCTATTTATTAGGACTCTTGGGTAAACAGAGCTCTAAGCCCATCAGTATGAAAAAAACACACACACTTATTTCTTCAATCTCCTACGCTGAATCTAAGATACCATCAACTGTAAGACGTACTGTTAGTTTATATGCCACTAAAGAGAGCAGTAATACAAATCAAACTGTCACAAGGCTAGTTTTAAGAAGCATCCCAATTTTAGTAGATGTTAAATGTTTAATACTGCAGAACTGATAAGACAGGCAGGGACTGTCTATTTTGTTCTTTACTGTATTCCTAGTGCCAAGAGTAGTATACATATTAATAATAGCACACAGATGGTACTCCATAAATGTTCGCTGCACATATGAATGCATGAATAAATTGAGACAAATGAACCCTCATGAACTAAAACCATGGACAGTGATTATTTCATGACTGTGAGTATTTAACTACTCAACATGAACAGTTAAAGCACAAGAGCAATATCGTTACTTCAAGCAGTTCCAAATTTCCAATTTGTTTTCAAAATTACAAAGCTGTCTATACACTGCTGAGGGACAGCTACATATTTCAGTAAAATCTCAGATTTCCTTTTCATGCCTAAGATACAAAAAGATGTGAGACTGTTAATGAGAGTCAAATGTCAGGCCAAGTTGTTCCCAAATTCGCATTTCTATTTTGATAGTGCACAGCACAGCTGTGGCAGAGACTGGTTTTCTCTTGTCCCATTATAACTTTCTGTGATAGTTACTCTGCAAAATTATTTTTTGAAAGCCGACCATACTCCAAGCATGATATTGTGGTGAACAAGAGGCGTAAGGTAACCCTGGACATGGTGGTCCTAACCAGGCAGGCCCAGCAGCACCAGTATAAAGTGACTGGCTTCAAGGCCCTGTAGAACCTGGGCCTGCTCACCAAAGGGGCTTGAGCACAGCCTCTGTCTGTCTACCTCTGCCTCACATGTATTGCATCCAGTCTGTTCTTGGGCACTACCAGGCCCTCTCACATGGTTGGATGTGCTTTTGCTAAGCAACATAGCTCAGTGCCACAAGACAGATGTACTGGATATTTGAATCCTAGACCAGTTTAGAGCAAGTGGTGTTGATTTGAATACTGGAAGTGAAGAAAGGGTGGGATTCTTTGCAAAGTAACAGGAGAAGTAGAGGCAGAGAGGTGAGAAATGAATAGTGTGCTGTATACCAGGAACCAGGACTGTTACGTGGGTGGAGCATGAAGCAGACACATAGGGGCTCAAGCTGAGGATAGCTTGTGGACCTGCAGACCCTGAATTTCAAGGGTGATGACACAATCAGATGTGTTTTAGGAAGATGCCCCTCAGTTGGTTTGTGGAGGACACAGATGGAGTTAAGGAGATCTGTTAGGGAGTAACCAGGAACAGATGTCCAGGAGACATAAAGAGTCCTACGATCAGAAAAGAATATTTTAGGAGGTGAAGGAAGTAGGATTCAGGGACACTGCGTGTAGGCCGGGGTAGAGCATGAGTTGAGGAGAGGAACCTGGGACAACCTCATGTGTCTGGCTAGGGTCTGAGTGGACGGTGGAAACCAGCAAACTAAAGAAGACAGCACAAGCGGCAGAGGAGCAGCAGCACCAGAGAACAGATTTTAGGGGTTAGAAATGAGTCATTCCTGGTCTCTGGGTGTGAGGTGCAGAAGGAGATGCTGGGCTAGCAGGGCACATGTGAGCTGAAAGTAGGAAAGGGCTGGGTTAGCAATGCAGGGTTAGGAACCATCAGTATATATGAGATACCTGGAACCTCGAGAGTAAATGAAATCCCTCAGGGAGATTTCCAACAGAATCCAAGTTAGCAATTCAGGGTTAGGAACCATCAGTATATATGAGATACTGGAACCTCCAGAGTAAATGAAATCCCTCAGGGAGATTTCCAACAGAATCCAAGTTAGCAATTCAGGGTTAGGAACCATCAGTATATATGAGATACCTGGAACCTCCAGAGTAAATGAAATCCCTCAGGGAGATTTCCAACAGAATCCAAGTTAGCAATTCTGGTCTTCTTTCCTCTTTCTAACAGACTTCCCACAAAGTATATTTTCCTTTCTTTGGGGTAGTCTTCTGTAGTTTCTCTTCATAATAAAATAAACTGTCTGTGAACGTCAGTAATGGGGGGAGATACTATCTATTCTTTTAAGCAGATTCCTAACGTATTAGCATCAGCAGTACCGAAATTAAACTAACTTTGTCACTGCAACAGAAAACAAATCTCTTTCCCGCATTGTAGCTTGTACCTTTACAGAACACATTTTGTATGAAGTTAATGAAATCCTTAACCAGCAGAATCTAAACTACAAAACCTTGTGTGAACTGGCTACTGCCTACATTTCAAATTTCATATAACATCCTCCTCCTCCACAGTCACGCTGAACTCTGCCCTGCCTCTGCGTGGCGGGCTTCCTCTCTTCTCCGTTCAGACCTCCAGTAAACATCACCCCCATGAAGAGCTTCCCGGAACAGCCTATGCAGAGGAGCTCCCCCCTTCACTTTTCCTTTTATTACTTTTACACAAGCTCTACGTTATTTGCCTGCGCCCGCCTCCCGCAGCTTTACTACGAAGAGGTCTCCGAGGGCTGGAGTTCTATCTTCTTTCCTATATGCCGTGCCTCACACTAGAGCAAATCAGGATGAGCGCAGGGATTCAAGGTGCAGGTTTGGGAATCTGACAGACCTAAGTCTGTTCTCAACCTTCCCGGTAACGGTGCTTTCCCAAATTACTGAAATCCTCGGCGCCAGTTTCCTCGACTGTGAAACGGCACACTGGGGCACAGAAGGAAGCGGTTCCCCCAGTTGGACACACAGAGCACAGACGGTATCAAGAGTCAATGCATGACAGGTGCAAGCCGCCTTCCCTCCCCGGCTCCCTGGGTGTGCTCCGCCGCGGTCCCAGCCCTGGCCCGCCATGTGGCGCGACTGACCGCCGCTGGCGCCCACCTGTCTCCCTCTGCGTCTTCACGCTGATGTACTGGCGCAGCTTCTTCACCGCCCGGTCCCGGATGCCCTTCTCGTTGGATGCCAGCCGCTGAGCAAACTGGATCTCGGCCGGCTGCATGGCAGGGGCCATCGCGCCCGCTGGAGCATCCCCAGCCGCGCAGCCCGAGGACCGCCACCCACAGTAGAGCGCGCCGCTGCACCGAGGCGTCCGGGCCGCGACTGCGCATAAGGCGGCGCGCGCGGCCTGATGGCGTCACAAAGGCGCCGGCTTGCAGGGCGGCCTGGCCCAGCCTTCGCGCGCCTTGCGCTTCCTAGGGTGGCCAGGGCGGTTGAGGGGGAGTCTAGCCAGGGTTGGGTCACGGCCAGGAAGAGACGCCCGGCTGGTTGTAAATGCTCTAGGATCTTTTTTCTTATTAATTTCTTAGACTCAGGGTCTCGCTCTGGGCGCCCAGGCTGGAGTGTAGCTGGGTGATCATATTAAGGTGACCAGATTTTAACATTGGTAAAGCAGGACACCATTGATGGGTGTGGGGGGGTGGGTGCTTAATTAAAAATTTGGTCTATATGGAGCAACAAAAATTTTCATAGAATGCAAAAATAGTACTGTAATATATATTTTTTAATTTCAATATAAGTACAATTTACAAATATAATACATTAAAAATTATGTATAGTATTATTTTATTATTTGGCATATTTCTCATTTGAGTGATTTTTTTTTAGTAGATTGCTATTGTTGTTTAAAAGGTCATGAAATATTTCACAAGAATTTGTTAAATTATATTTCACATATAAAATGGCTTTCAAAGTCTCAGCACTTAATTGTGATTTTTCTGATGTCCACACTTTACCGTAGAAAAAAATGTATTCAGTCGCAGCATTAGTTCCTGGTAAGGACAGCGCGGATCCCACAAGTTTTAGTGCATTATTGTATGGAACATGGTTTGTTTCAAAATGATGAAATATTTCTAACCATTTGTTCTCTATTGTGATTTTTGCTGATGCCCAAGATTTAGCCTTTTCCTTATCAATATATTTTTTAATAATGATAACTCATAAGTCGTGTCACTTTCAAGGCCAGGGCTAGACTTTTTGCTGCCACTATAAAATATAAATAATATGAGTACTGGCTGCTAAATTCATGAAATAAATTACCTAAATTATCTGAATAGCTGATTTGTTGACATCACTTGTTTAACTAGCACTAGCACGCAGTACGATGTGTATCATCTGAGACAGTTATAAAATGTTTTCGTCATTGCCAATGCCATTGTTCATGAAGTCCAAACAATGGTGGTTGAATTCTAACAACTGATCAACAATGCGAACTTTGATAAGCAGTTCTCGATAATCAGTTCTCATCAATTATTTGTTATTAAAGTTTAACGTTATAAAACTAACAAAAATATAAAACTCATATCCTGGTGAAATAGCCACGTGGCAGCCGAAAACCGTCTATTCCCTTCCCTAGCTTGTCGTGCATTCTTTCCAAAAGTCAGGACTTGTTAAAAATGCTGCGGGGATGTGGGACAAACTGTTAAATATCAGAACTGTCCCACCAAAAGCCGGATGTCTGGTCCTCTCTGTAGCTTCCGACTCTGGGGCTCCAGCGTCCTCCTGCTTCAGCTTGACGAGTAGCTGAGACTTCAGGCGCAGACTACCACGGCCCTTTCAGTTTTTGGCTGGGGCTGGGTTTGAACCCACCGCTTCTGGTATATGGGACCAATGCACTACTTTGAGCCACAGGTGCCGCCCTGCCTGTTAATTTTTATTTTTTTGTAGAGACAGGGCCTTGCTATGTTGCCTAGGGCTGGTCCAAGGGATCCTCCTGCCTCAGCCTCCCCAAATTTTAGGATTAGAGGCATGAGCCACTGTGCCTGGTCTGGTCTAGGATCTTTAAGCACAGTTAACAAGCCCACTGGCCAGTGGTGTCCTGCGATCTCCAGGCAGGAATTTTTAACTGCCTGGTAGCCCCCAGGCGGAGTTGAGGGTTGAGGACAGGCTATCACTGGGGTCTGCTTGGCAGATGGAGGGGCAGTTCCTCCCGTTCTGGAGCTAGTGTGTAAGGGTGTGTAAGGGTTGTCCTGGCTGGCAGCTCCAGGGAAGTGTGAGCAGTGCTCTGCTGGCCAGTTCCAGCAGAATTGGAAGGGAAGCAAGGCCGGCAGTTGTGCAATAACTTGCGTGGAATCTTGTGGATTCAGCAGGCGTGTTGGGGCAAGTTAATAGACGAGGTGACTCCTCCAAACTTGGAGTGGTTATCTTATTTCTATTTCTTTAGGTTGTAGAGGTTTATGAGGCACATGTGAAACGAATGCGTGGTCATCAAGTCAGGGTATTTTGATTGTCTATCTCCAGAGTACAGTACACTGCTGTCTGCAAACACTGAATTATTCCATCTAACGAATAATTAGAAGCACCGCGGCCATGGGCGAGGCGGGTGGCGCCGAGGACCACTACTGGGTCAGTAAGGAGGCCCAGGCCACTGCACGGTGTCTGTGTTGTCACTTCCTTCTAAGTGTAGTTTGTGTCCTTTAAGGGTGGTTGTCTTTAATTCTTGCACGCAGTTATCTGGCCTTTCCCAGGTGCTCTGTCAACGTGCGTCCAACCTTAGCACGAAGGTGCTGCGAGTTCGATTCAACGCCGTTTCCCTTGTCTAGTCCTCACCTAACAGGAATGACGGATTCGACATTTTTGACATTTACACCAGGGTCTCTCTTTCCTTATACTTCGCAGTTAACAAGTTTCAAATCCCAGCTAAGCCAGAAAAGGAGAAACAGATCTCACCGAAGCCACCCTTGTGTCTTAAGTTGAGAACGCGGCGCGATCTCTACGAGGTTTGAGCCTCGCGGCTGTCCGTTCTGGTCCCAGCGAGGGCGTGCTCCCGCTCTTTCCGACGTGAGGGGTTAGAGGGCACGCCGCTGCGCAGGCGCTCGGGGTTGGGGTCGCTGCGGCCATGGGCGAGGCCGGTGGCGCGGAGGACGATTGCCGGGTCAGTAAGAAGGCCCAGACCGCCGCATGGAGTCCGAGTGGTCGCGTTTTGCCCCCTCTCAGGGCCTGGCTGATGTGCTCGGCAACTGCCCGCTGTCGCGTGGTCGGGGCCTGGCCTTCTCACGGGCCGAAGCGGGTGGGCCTGGGCCTGAGGCGCCCTCTGCCCCAAACCTCCGCGGGCCGGGCCTGTGGGAGCGCGAGCGGTGGTCGTTCTCTCCGTGCCCTCTGCCCTTCGGAGCCCAGACCTTGTTGGGCAGCCCCGGCCCCGTGCGTCGGGTTAGCGCCAGGTCTGGAGCGATTCTTCCGGAAAAGGCGTCTGGCCTGTGGAGCCAGCCCCGGTTCCGACCCTGGCCCTGCCCTGGACCCCGCGGCCCTGGTGGACCCCGCGCCCAGTGTGCTGACTGATGAGGGAGGGGTTGGGGTGAATGTTCGGGGAGATGACCAAGAGAGTTTGGCCTGCCGAGGAGGGGTCCAGCGAGGGTGGCTGCTTTTTCTTTTTTGTGTTTTTGGAGACGGAGCCTCACTCTGCCACCCTCAGCAGAGTGCTGTGGCGTCGCGGCTCCCAGCGTCTTCAGACTCGGGGGCTCATGTGATCCCCTGGCTCAGCCTCCTGAGTACCTGGGACTACGGGCGCCCACCACGACGCCCGGATAGTTTTTCTGTTTTTAGTTGAGATGGAGTCTGCTTTGCTCAGGCTGGTCTCAAACTCCTGAGCTCAAGTAATCCTCCCGCCTCGGCCTTCCATTGTGCTGGGATTGTGGAGAGACCCGTTGCGCCCAGCCCTTTCTTTTCTTGCTGATTAGCTCGGCCTGACAGGGTTAAGGAAAATGTTGCAGGTGGTTTTTATCTTTTCCTTCCTCCTTCCCCTTTAGGAATAGGGCTTTTGTTTGCACATAATGAAAAAAAAAACTCTGCCATCATTTTTAAAGCTGTGGCGTCAGCTCAAAATGTCCTGGGTTCGCACATGTCTGGGTATGTGTGAAATCTACAGAATGCTTGTAGCAGAGGGCTCATGGGGAAAAACGTGCTTTTGAAGCCATGAACACAGACATGAAGGAAATGGAAGCAGATTGATTTGGGCTGTTGTGATCATACAAAGAGAAGTGTAATCTTAAAATACGCTTGTTCTTTTAGCCCATGGGAACTAAAGAAGAATTTGTTAAAGTCAGAAAGAAGGACCTGGAACGGCTGACAACTGAAGTGATGCAAATTCGGGACTTCTTACCGAGAATACTAAATGGGGAAGTTCTGGAAAGCTTCCAGAAATTAAAGATTGTAGAAAAAAGTGAGTCTTACTTCGTTTTAGCAATCATTGGTGGTTGACAGTAATCTGGCAGATTTACCTTAGGTAAATAACTGTGAAGTAATTGTAAATACATTTTAAGGTGCTATTGCAGTCCTTACAGTTACATTTGGAAAAGTCAGATAAAACCTAAGGAATGAATGACTTGGACATGTGAGTTGGTTGTGGAGGAAAATTTGCTGGTTTTCTGGAATATCTATAACCAGCTTCTTTGTATCTGCTGTGTTCATTGGCAGAAGAATTTTGTACTTTTGATACCTCAGAATCTCTAAAAATTATATCCTTTTTTTGCCACATGGAAGCCTTACACGGAATTAACTGTGTCTGTGGAAACAGCTGGCTGTCTCTGGGTGGGCCGGCAATTAAGTTTTTAATACTGATTTAAGTTCAGGCTTGGTAGGACTAGTCCATTCACATTTTTGAGATCTGAACTGAGCCATATGTTAGGAGCCTATTGAAGTTCTTGAAGATTTTCTTAGATTGATTCAGTCCTTGCCTGGTGGAAGCTGAATTATGAGTAAGTCAGCCTTTGGTAGGTAAGACTAATTCACTGAATTGCATTTGACTGTTAGCCATCATTGTGTGGTCTCTAGGAAAGGTACATCTAGGGGGAGTGTTAGGTAGTGTTCGTAGCTTTAGTACAGATACGTTAACTCTCTTGCTTAAGTGTGTCTGATCAATGGGCTAGCCACAGTCAGAAGAGAGAATGCTCCTGGTTACCGTAGCTTCCTGAGGTGTTTATATTGTCTTTAGAGACCTCAGATCTCCTTTCCTTTTCTGTACCTTGTGGTATACTCTGGGAGGTGGACTCCAGTGACAGGGTTCCCTGCTTCCCATACTGGCTGCTAGTGGGGCTCACCAATGGAGGGCATGCTGGGTGGTTAGAGTTGGGGGTGTTTTCTCATGCTCCTTCCCTGCTTTGCTGCATCTCTCCACAACTAGGACTCCTGCTAGGTGTCCTCCTCTACAGTGCCCGCTCTTGCTGGACTTGCAGCAAGGCCATTTTCTCCCCCTGCCCTTTAGCTGTAGTGCTATTGCTAGTCTCTGGTGGTTCACCATCTCTTGTGGGTTCCCTTATTCTTGCTCTCCCCTCTGTAAGGTCTCAACACAAGCATTGATTTCTGTTTATTTTTGGGACCCTGCTGGATGTTCTTTGGTGGCCAAGGCCCTGTTACTGACTTCTTAATTTCTCTAGTTCTGATCTCATGCTTATCCATCAACTTTTGAGAGTAATTAATCATTCCTTTTGCATTTAACTTTAGGAGTGCTGACTAGTAGCAGAGTATGTGAGTCTGGTAGTTGGTTATATTTGTCACTGTAAATTACTAAACTGGTATTTGAAAAATACCAGGGTCTTGTGAGTGAGTAAGCATGGGTCAGTGTTTGGAAATCAGTCCCTTTCTTAAAATAAAACAAAGTCAGGGCCACAAGTGAGTCTGTGATGACTTGATCAAAGTCCAACTTTGAGAAACTTAGCCTCATAGCACAGGCCTTCCCCAGGCTGTGCATTTGCCTGTGTCACCCCCATCTCTCTGGTAATTTCTTCTTAGTCTTTGCCAATTTACTCTTCTCTGCTTAGCAGACTTTTTTAAATTTTTTTTTTTTTTTTTTTTTTTTT